ACTCTGAAGAATAAATTCTTCATTTTTCTACACTCAAAAATTTCAGGAAAAAAAAGTCACAGATGTTAAAATCATAGCTTTATGAAGATTCCCATTGATATATGGTAGATTTAGATTACTTTTAACATCAAATGTCCAAGAAAAAAATTTAATAAAATAAGGAATCCATCAATGCCCTGCAGATTTGCCTCCCTTAATGCAATAGGTGTGTGCCTGAGAGATTGGTGGAAATATACAACTACATAAATGCAGTCCTTTCTTACAGCATCAGGAGATCTCCGCTATTTAAAGTAATCTTCTGATGATTTATTATCATATGAAAAATAATGCATTTATGCCATAAGATAACTTTGAGTCTTTCAACAGATCTATTGGGGTTTGTAATATATAAGTACCCAATAGAAAAACAAAACAAAAAACCATAGACGTAATTGGTTCTACAATACAAACATCACGGTGCAAAATTATCTTTCAGGAACAAATTCGATTCGTCTTAACTATCATCAAATAATGTATTCTCTCTGGGACACGGAGATATACAATATAGCATCCCCCCACACACACTAGAAATAGAGGTCTATCTCTCTGATCACTACTGTTTTAAGATGTTTCGAAGGAATGTATTAGTGGAGATAGTTAACTTCTCTACTCCAATTTCTTGCTTTGAACAACCTGGCATTCTTTAAGAGAAACTAAAAAGCACAGATTCCTTGCATGGCCCCTTCATTTACCTGTTTTTAGCCTTTATGCTCTCCCTGAAAACCCTGTGATATCATCTAAAAGCTTTCCCAAAAAGTGGAGAAAAAATAACTCAGACTGCAATTTGGGCCTCAGCCTAGGGCCAGACACTGAGGTTTTCCAGACCATCAAGCTGGGCTCCAGGGGCGTCACATGCATGTGATTCCCAGGGTCTGGGCTGTCCCCCAAAGATATCACAGACGTTTCCACCTTTGGCTTCTCTAATTCTGGCTCCACCTCTTGTGAACATAATGACTATGACTGAGCATCATCTCCACTCATATGAGAACTCTTGGAACAGGCCTCCCTCTCATTCATAACATCTAAATACACATCTAAAATGACCACTGTGGTGGTCCCTAGAGTCATCATCCTCTGTCTAAATACAAGGACCACGATCACTGCATCCTGGCATCAATGAAAGGCAGTATACCCAATAGCTGTTGTGAGAACTAAATGAGTTAGCATTTGTAACATGCTTAGCAAGCACTGAAACAATACTACCTATAAAATATTCCTAGAGTTCGAAGTCTGTGTGTGTCTGTAAAATACCACGTATATTTACAAATCCATTCATAGAGAGATGTACAGATGTCTTTCTTCTAGGCATGATATTTTAGCTACACTTGGCCTCTTTCAATAAACTAACATCTCATCCTAATTTGCCTTTCAATTGGAAAATTGAGAGTGTGACTTTTTGAGCAAAAAGATATATATATACACACACACAAATACATACATACAAATAAGTAAAGGTCACAGTAAAATATCTAGAAAACTTGAAGGAGAAAGACTCAAAGATACAATGAACAAAATTTTCCATAATGATCCTAAAAAAATTGAGCCTGTAGAAGTGTGATTTGGAATGGTTTGACCACTCTAAAAAAAACAAAACAAAACAAAACAAAAAAACCTAAATTTAATTTTGTTTCTTACAAGAACAATAGATTCAACGGCACACAGAAACATTCACACTGCAGGGGGCAGTGAATTGAGGAGAACTATCCTGTCTTCGTATTGGGACTATGACCCCCCGCCCCGTGTACATGAAGAGGGCAGGTTTATGCTTGAACCGTCCTACGAGATAAATTCTCCCAGTGTGTCCGTCTACTCTGGCCACTGTGTGGGCCTAGATCTTGGGAGGCTGCTGTCCTTTAACTCCTGCTTTCAACAAGATATGATCTATTCATATACACATCCAAAGGAATTCTTAGAAAAATGTTCGGTTTGCTTTCATTAAGTCCTGAAATTAAGAGCCAGAATATACTAGACAAAATCCTGTAACATTCTTGCCTTGTGTCATCTGAAAATACAGACATTAACATGATGTGAACAGGCTGTTTTATGTTATCTGACAACACAGAAGTGAGAAGAAAATTCCTCTATTTCTGCCCTTAGCTGGTGGCGCTAGGGCCACTTCCTGTGCCTGGAGGAGAAGGAAAAGCTCCACCGGGGATGCTTCAGCCAAAATGGTTCATTTCACACCTGTGCAGTGAACCCTCCAATATCACTTATCCTAATTTCTAAGGTAGAAAGGCCTTCAAGTTCAGTCCTGCTATTTAATAATAAATCCTTGCCTTAAGACCTTGCTTCAGATCACCACGAAACTGCTCTACCCCTGTAATGCCAGGGCGAGCTGATGAAGCATGAACAAATGATCACACTGATGAATAAAGGCCAGGTAGAGCATTCCGTGCTCAGCAGACGACAGGACAACATCGGTGTGCACCACCGATGGCACACATGGCACCCTTGATAGTGGAGCGAGAAAGAGAAGCAGCCAGACTTCGGTGCCACAGCCTCCCTTCCTCTCTGGCCCAGGCCACCTGAGGATTCAACATTTTGCAGAAAGACAACCCTTAATGGAGTCACGCAGTGTCGAGGGGCTCAGCGCCATAGCCAACAGTACTCGATGGGCAGCTAATTCAAGTCTGTAGGCAAGATCCACGAAAGCAAAATGTTCTCCAAAAAAATGAAGGCTACCCATAATCCTATTAAAAATAACAATAAGTGAGACCAAAATATATCTTATAGTTTATCCTAAAAATGCATTTTTTACATGCTCTTGCTTCAAGAGCAGAAATAGTTCTGCAGAATGACCCACCACCCCAGTAGCAACGAAAACATTCTCTAATAAAATCACACTTCGTCAGCGTAGGGAGGGGAGATAGCCACCCCTCTACAGATGCAGTCTCCACCATGGCTGGTCAAGGTAAATGCAAGGGAAACGTAGACTTTCAAATTAAAACGTGAAAATTACGCGTGGTTAAGTGAGCGCTCTTCCTCCCACTACCTTCGGGACAATCCAGGGAGAGAGTTTATACATGCACCACTGCTAAGAGACTCAGCATTTTTTCAATGATGTCCGATGGAAAATGTCCCCCACACCGCAGGGCTTCCCACGGTGTCATGAACCCACGCATCCCCACAAAAGTACACTTTGGCAGACCAGCAAGATGACCTCCATCTTTATCTTTCTTTCTCGGGGCCTCAGATTTGAAAGGCCAACGTGGCAGCCTGTGCCTGCCAGCCTGGCAGACAGAGGGACCAGGCAGTGCGGAAGTGGCCCCACTGCCAAAGCTCCTTCCCGCTTGGAAGTCCCCATGTTAGACGACCTATTTCTATTCATGTGTTGTAATCTTTCTTCAGATCAAGCCGGCAGCCCATTAATCATTCCTGTCATGCCACTACAGAACGCAGTGCAATGGATCTGTTTTTCTAAAACTCACAGCGCCAGAGACTAAGCTCGAGAAAAAGGAAACCCTCTCTCCGCAGAGGCTGGGGACTGACTGGAAGGAGCCACCAATTGTGTTGATTTGCCCACGTTTATCCAGAACCACGCAGAACATTCTGTGGAAAGTTCTTAAGAGAACTCAGGTAGAAAGGGGAGGTAGAGAGGCTGAAGAGGATCCCAACGCGTGAAGCCCCAAGCTGAGGATAACCTGAGAAAGAGAAGTGGATGAAGAAATGCCAAGAGAAAGACAGATGTGAATTAATAAGGTTCTTATTAATGTTCCTTATTAAGGCCAATTGTTTTTAGCAACTTCAGACCAAAGAAAAAGTATATTAACGGTCAAGGCTGAAGCCATCGTAGGCGCTCTACATCCTGAAGCACTGAAAATACTAAAATTAAGTCGACCAACAGAATGCTCACCAATGACGAGGAAAAAGCCTCTTAAGGAGCTGACATACTTGCTCCATAAGGTGGAAGTGGCCTTGAACTCACTGACATCTTGGGCTATTTTTTTTTTTTTTAAATGAGGGCATACCTTTGGGATAAGAGAGAGCACTGGCAATGGAAAACGGGAGACAGAGGGACCGTGATCACAACCCGCATGTCGTATCAGGTCCTACTGTGATCTTTGCACAGGACGGAAATTAATGGCAGGATACAACATGTACAAGAGAAGCCACCGAGAGGCTTGGCTTCTCCGCCCATGTTCGATCTTACCAATGTGATCAAGCATAAGTCCCTTTACAAATGAGGAAGAATCCCAGAGATGCGAAAGGAGGACATGGTGCCAACTTTCAGGTCCTTTAAGATCCTTGGACTCTCCGTGGTTGACTTAGGTGACGTTAAGATCTCTTGCAGCTCTGAGACTCTGAGATTTCATTAAGCTTATGCGGACGGGCTGACGTTATCAGCGAGAAGTGTATGCATTTCACACGCGTTAGTGTTCTCGTTTGTGGTGTCGAGTCAACGTGTAACGTGTAGCAATCATTTATGTCTCAAGTGATGTGATATAAATAAATGTTTTTTTATGTCAAAGTTGGTAAATGGTTTACTTAAAACATAATTAGAGCAATTTCGTCTTAATTTAGTCATGTGATTTTTTTTTAACCTTCATTTTTCAAAAGACACTGGCATTCACTGGAACAGAAGGAGAGAATTATACACAATGTAGGGACTATACGGACATAGTTACAACACCACCACAAAAACATTTAAAACTATATAGAACATTGACTCTCTTAAACTTGCCAAGAAGTAGTATATAAGTAAGATCTGGGTAATTTAAGAAATTTCCAAGGGTAAATCTGACATAAGTACTATCTTAGAAAGACACCTACATAATCACCTGTTATAATATATTTCAGAAAGATGAGGAGATACCATTCACATTTTAAAGTTTCCTTACAGGTGTGAACCTCAGCTAGGTTGAATGTATATTATTCTGCTTTATGTCAGTAAAATAAAACCTACCTGCATTTGGATTGGGGACTGAGGAACAAATAATTTGAACATAAAAAAAGAAGCTTACCACGAATGCTATTGCACTTCTCAACGTGGACTCCCACTGGAAGCAGCTTTTAAGGAATTGTATTGTATTCCATATTGCCATGGTGATTCTTTTCACACGGTCTACATCTCTTGATAAGATCTGATAAAAAAAATGGAAAATAGGGAACTAGATTTGAATACTCCAAATATTATCTTTAGAGCAGGCATCTTGGTCATTCAAATTGTATTTTGTATAGCTGCCAATTAAAAAAATAGAAAGAAAAAGTCTTAATGTTTTTTCTAATATTCTTTTTAAAATATGATCATCCACAGAGGAAAGAAAAACCCAATGCATTTTATAGTTTCTTTACTGAACAATACCTGTTTCATTAATGTTCATCAGAAAATGAGCTGGCAAAAGCTACAGAAGCCAGACACTCTCTGCGTGTGTGTGTGTGTGTGTGTGTGTGTGTGTGAGAGAGAGAGAGAGAGAGAGAGAGAGAGAGAGAGAGAGAGAGAGAGATGTGTGTGAGAGAGAGATGTGAGAGAGAGAAAGAGAGAGAGAGAAAGAGAAAAAGAACAAGTGTCTCTTGTTTAGCTTAGAAGGAAATGGACAGACTTAAAGAAACGTACAAGCATTCTAACTCGCAGAGTGCAGAAGCAAAAGTCTACGGAAAAGTATAGTTCTGGGAAGGGATTGAGTTCTCTCACCTTCTAGCTGTCTAACCCTGGGCCAGTGTCTTAATCTCTCTTTTATACAACAGGGCTGATATTAGTGCTAACCTTGCAGACTATGGAGAGAATTAAAGGGCTTAGACACTGCCTGTCACATAGTAAGTGCTTTTAAGTATTTGCATGATAAGCACAAACTTCAATTTTATGAAAATTTTGGGACACCTGGTGTTGGGGGACACCTTGTGGTGAGAACCACGCAGGGAGGAAGCCAATACACCCCAGGATCTCAGTCCCAGGTCCCCTGGTGCTCTCAGGGCCTGAAGCCACCCCAAGAGGAGGTCTGTGTTTGGCAAAGGAAATATCGTTCCTCCCAGCTGTAGACAGATTCATTTCAACTTTTTTGCAAAGCAGCTACCCCACCTACCTCAACTCGGGTTTTAACTTTCAAGTAAACAGACAGAAAGACAGCAATAATAATAACGAAATAAGAGGTTGACTCAGATTACACAAAACAAATATTACACTCGATGCTATGGCAGACCAAAGCAAAACATTTGGATGCTCCCTCAGAAGACAGTTAAGGCCTTTTCTAAGTGTTTTCAGTTCACAGGAAGCAAAAGGATGATAAGATGCCTTTCTATTTAACTGCTTTATGTCATCCACAGCTGCTCGCCCCACAGGAAGTGGTGGAAGTAATAAACACTTTTAAAGGGGACACTTTGTTCTTTGTTACACAACTGAAGAGGGACAATAGGTACAGAGTGAAATCCTGAACTGAGTCTGAACAGGACAGGGAGGTACACTGAAAAGAAATGTAAAGGTCATGCTGAAAAAAAAATGTGACACTTCCCCAGCGGGGCCCAGAGCTTCACTTTTGGTTGAGCTAATGAAAGAGGAATTGAGACAATGGGCAGAGGGAGGGACAGGTAATTCGAAATGAGATAAAACACCGACGCATCTCAAATTTAGGCCATCCAAAATTAGTAGGAGCTGCTGTGGGTGAATCTGAGGCTGGGGTCTCTGAATACCCTCTGGGTTAATTTCTTTATGAACTCCACGGGCAGAATACCTCCCCGAAACTTCGAAAGACAGAGACAGAAACGACCGTGATGAAAGGAGGGTTTGCAGGGCAAACGAATCCGGCAGAATGTTCACGGAGGCTGACGCCGGGAACTTTTGTTTATAGGATGATTCGGGACATTAATGGAGGGCTGATGCTTTCTGTTTCACCCAATTCATCTGGTTTAAGATCTTTCTTATTAAGCTGACTGAGGTCCTTGTTTTAGAAGGGAAGGGGAGACCAGGAGAAAGGAGTGGAGAGGTGGGGATAGAGAGGGGGAAGGAGGAGGAGGAGGAGGAAGAGGAGGAGGAGGGGGAGGAGGAGGAGAAGAAGAGAGAGAGGCAGAGAAGGGGAGGTACCAGCAAGCAACGACCAACAGTATTTAAGTGCTGGATGCTGAGTGCACCACAGGCCAGTTCACTGTAGGCACCTACCTTTTTGGACAGCTTGCGACTATCCTCAACGAAGCGCTTTTCTCTGGGACTGAAGGTCCTAATACTCGCTTTGACCTAGAAAGACATCATTGTTAAAAAGCATAACATTTCTGTGGACTTCGTTCTTCTCCTTCCTTCTTAATGACTCAGAAGAACGTAGAATCCGACACCTTCCGAGTCCAAGGCCTTTGGCAGGGAGCAGAGAAAAATGGTGGCTCCCCTGTGATCTGCAGGTGTTTCTGGGGATCATTTCATGAGCATTATGTCGCTGGGGTGGGGCAGACTGCGTCTTGGGGACTCCAGAATGTTTGCAAATCAGTAGAGATATTTTAAACTACTGCAGACTGGGATCTCAAACCAAAGTCTCTAAAAAGTAAAACTTCCTTTCGCATTGACGTTTTGAACTAATGCTCTCGCCAACAATATCTTGCATGCGAAAATCAGCTTCCAGCTTATAAAAACATCTTTCCCACAGACAATCTCATTTCTTCTCAATGATGTGGAAAAATAAGTAGACGAGTCATTTTAGCCCCATTGGATAGGGAATGAACTGAGGCTCAGAAGGATGTTAGTGGTTTGTCCTAAACAACATACCGAGGAAAATTTCGAAGAACAAAACTCACGTCCCTCTCCTCTACATCAGATGGGCAACTAAAAAATTACTTCATTAACGTAGTTTCTATTTAAGACTTTTACCCCCTAAAACTCAGGTTTTACCTGTGGGCGTCGTAAAGGTCAAAGAAATGGGGAAAAGAGGACGTAACAGCAGATGCCATAGTGGAAACTGTGCCCAGAATTCTAGCACGACTGGAAATAAAATATGCAATTTCCCTGGCATTGATTTTGTGAGTAATTTCTTAGAGATACCAAACAAGAAGCAGTACAGCATAGGAATAACTTCAGAGTCAAAAGATCTGGAACTGGATCCTGATTCACTCATTTATGAGCAAATCAGCTCTCCTGTTTAATTCCATTCACTCGTGGTAAAAAGGCATTAAAGACACTGATTTACCAGATCGATTGTGAGGGGTAAGTGAAGTAATGACGGAGTCTGGCACATTGCAGGTGGCCAATGTTACCCTACGTTCATTTACACCACCAACTGAATTAACCTGTGCTCTCCTTTCCCTTTCTAGAACCTTCTGCTGATAGCCAGGGCATATGACTGCTCAGGGCTAAGTAGGCCACTCCTCTGCCCATACAGGGATTTCCCATCACATTGCACGGCCATCAAGAATCCACTGTGCCAATTCCCAAACCTATTTATGCCAGTTTTACTCATTATTATCATTCTGTATTTTAATTATTATACAAATCATTGAAATACAAGCAGGGATTATAGAGTTGAAATTTATGTGGCTCTACAAAGATTCAATAAAGGTCAGTCACTAAAAAGATACTGTTATTGAGGTAGAGATTTTATGAAAAACGATCTGGAAGAATTATAGATTCAGATAATTCTCTGAGTGTCTTTAAAGTATATCTCTACTGTGAAGAAACTGAAAGTGGAAATTATTATAAATGTTATAAGTATATTTATGCAAGTAATATGTTTTAGAACTAAAAATAATAAATCCATGCTTCAAAAAAAAGGTTTCAGGCCCACGCCCTCAAAATTGGCAAACGAATGTGTATTTATATATTTTACATTAAACTAAAGATTCAAGAGACATTAAAAAATTTTTCCTCCTTTCACAGTAGTTTCCAACTGAGTAAGTACTTGTTTTGATAGAGTTGGATATCAAGACATTTGCTATAATAATGAAATGCTATGTCAAAGTCTTGAAAATATTTCTGTCCAACAACCAACTAAAAGATTACAGGTAACAAAGCTAAAAAAAAATAATTTTCTAATTTATTTTTAAAAGTTTTTTCCTTGACACTTAGATAGATATGTTGAGAATTAAATACCACCAACTATACTGGCTCAATAGGATTAACACCAGTTGAAAACTGGAGTGTCCAGCACTGATTTTGTGGCTGAGTAACAAAGCTACTGCTCCCTCTCCCTCTCTCTCTCCCTCTCTCTCGCTGTAATAATTCCGAAACATTTTACATGGATTCGAGTCTCTCCATGGTCGTCATCTTTCGCTTCAGGTATATAGAAGCTGGGGAGGTAATGGGCCAGTCAGACTTACCGGATTATATATGAAGTCCATTTCCAAATAAATAAGTCCTTTAAAAGCTTGTTCTAAATCTTTATTCTTCAATACGTAACAATTGGTGTGTCCATCTCGAATCTGTCATAAGTAATAGATAAAATACAAACATTCTATGGGGTTTAAATGAAACAAACTGGGTCACAGTTAAGAAAGTAGACTGCATACACAGATGAAGCAAATATTAAAGCAAATACTAAATCCATCATAAATCAACTTATAAATCTAGACTGTTGTCATAACTGTTAAGAAGACAGAGTTACATTACCAGGCTGAAACTAGTATGTTAATGGGAAATTAGTGGTACAAATTATTACCAAGTTTACATGGGCTTTTCTTCAAAAATTCCAGAGGTTATACATTTTTATTTATTAAGAAAATGATATTCTACAAAATCCCTGGCCAGTACTCAAGACTGCCAAGGTCATGGGAAGAAAGAAAACTTGGAAACTGTCACAAATCAGAAGACTAAGGAGATAAGATGACTAAATGCAATGTGGTACTCGAGGTCGGGTCCCGGAACAGGAAAAGGACGGTAGTGGAAAAGCTGGTGAAATTTAAATAAAGACCAGAGTTTAGTTAACAGGAATGTACAATGTCAGGTTTTAGTTTTGACAAATCGTATCGTGGCAATATAAGATGTTAACAATACAGGAAACTCGCGGAGGTGTATATGGAAACTCTGAATTCTCTCTGCAACTTTTCTGTAAATCCAAAATTATTCCAAAATAAAGAGGTTATTAAAATATTTTTAAGAAACAAAGAAACCGCTTTTAATAAAACAATCAGTGTTTCACAGCCAGGGAATAAATGCAAATTAAATAAATCAGGATAGCTAAAGTTTAGGCCAAATCTAAAAACATTTGGAATGTACGAAACGCTGACAACCCTTTAAAATAAACAAATCCCTCTGATATCCTCTCTGCCAGCATGTCACACCAGTTCCATACGGTAATCTAGCTGCGGACCCCAGCATGTAAGGAGTCTAAGAAGAATGTTTCCTGTATCATTTGGGAAACAATTTGGCTCCGATTAAGGCATTCTCTTTTCGGAGCTGATAATCAGCAATGCTTTATTATACACAGCAGTCGTATATGTATTAAACTTCTGGCTTGTAGGAGGCATACCTGTTAATTCCAAAAGAACATCAGCAAAATTTGAGCTGACCAAAAGCCCCATTTGAGATTGTAATGATCAAGGATTTGCAACAACATAGGAAATGTGAAGCCATGAAATCTGAGCCATATTTTAAATGACTATTGCTGTCACTACAAGCATTCTGCACAAGTGTTCTCATAAACAGTGGTGGAAATGAGTTGAATCAGTCAC